ATTCATTCATTCATTCATTCGTTCATTCATTCATTCATTCATATGTGAGGATTAAAGTCCCAAAACTAACATATCATTATGAGAGACATTGTAGTAGAGAGGCTTCGAAAATTTCGACCTTGTGGGGTTTTTTAAGGTGCACCCAAATCTGAGCAGACGCGCTTACAGCGTTTTGGCTCTATCGAAAATGCAGCCCCTTTATAAAAAAAATTTTGTGCCCTTGTAATGCAGGTAGAGCCTACACAAACTTAAAGAAAACGTAAGATAAGGATGAGGTTGGTTTGTGAATACGGGCCTGGGCAGCAAAAGTATGACCGGAACTTGGTGGTTGCGTGGTTTCGCTGAAATGAGCAAGAGTGGGGGCTTGATCACAGTTATAGTGCGGCTGTAATATGAGTATGTAGCTCGACAGAAACGCTGAAGGACACCTTGCATTCAAAGGAAGCTTATGGTCACTATAATCCTTTGCCTCAATATAATCATTTGTTCAAAAAAAAAAAAAACTCACGTTCAAGATTAACTTATGTTTCACAAAAACTTATCTTCCTCATAAGCTTAAGCTTATCAGAAACTTATGTTCGCGATAAATTTATATTCAGCAGACACGACAATATTCTCTCCAATGATCCGCTTCCAGGAGAATACAATATTAAGAAAATACCGTATCTTTTTCTTAGTTTCCAAGTCAGCCAGAGGACACCGTTTTTTTTTTTCTATCTGTTGCAGCGTGACTCATACTCTTATCCACGTAAAGAATCAGCCTTGGGACAATGTAGAAAAAAAGAAAAAAAAAAGCATGAAAAACAAAAAAAAAGAACAACGCAGACATGACAAAAGAAGTGGCAGAGGCAGGGGATGATGAGAGAAAACAGCGATCATATTAACGCTCACTAACTCTGCTGCACGCGTGTTCTGACAGTGCCGTGACGTCAATGCATTGCTGTAATCACGTGACCCGAAACCACGCCGAAACGAACACTCACTTTGGAAGACGGCGACGCGCTACTCCCTTGTTTGCAAAGGAAGTGAGAGCGCTTGCATCTACCGATGGGGGCGCGGTGGTGTTGGTGGTTAGAAGAAGGAGCCTAATTTCTGCCAGCCCGGTCGGGAGCACGGCGCTGCGCCTAATGTGAATGCGCTGTCGTTCGCGTGTAGTAACGCGAAGACCCTTTCGCGCGTTTGTCTAACGCAGTGGCGAGGGAGCATCGGCCTGCATGTTGGAGAGCCGACGGTCGCGAGGTCGAGGGTTCGATGACTCGTCAACGCCAAGTTTCATTCCGCAGTTCTCGTTTGATACGCTCGAAGAGAAACAAAGACGCACGAAAAACACGAAAGTGCAGCTATACGGTTGAGCACCGACGCTCCGTTTTTTTTTATTACGTCATCATGCCGGTTGCGTTTCGTCTCATTACATCACGATTAACAGATAAGCACGCGTCGTTAACCATGGGAAGGAAACTTGATACTGTCATCTCTATGGGCTTTTTTTTTTCTCCGCTGTAGTTCGCCTCGGTGAATCAGTGGCTATAGGGTGCCCGGCTGCTGACCCGAAGGTCGTGGGTTCGATGCCGGTCGCGACGGTCTCATTTCGATGGAGGCGAAATGGTAGAGACCCATGTACTGTGTGATGTTACTGCACGTTAAAGAACACCACATGGTCCAAAAATTATCAGAACTTTCCACCACGGCGCCTCTCATAATCATCTCGTGGTTTTGGGGGCGTGAAACCCCAATTATTATTATTATTATTATTATTATTATTATTATTATTATTATTATTATTATTATTATTATTATTATTATTATTATTATTATTATTATTATTATTATTGATTACTGTGTGTGTCTTACTAAGAGTGCAATTTGAGCCTGTTGGTTTGCTAAATATACGAACGCACAAAGTTGCGCAACTGAGACACGGACAGAAAGGAGCTACGATGAGTTGCACGAAGCGCGAACTTAGTAAAACAGTTTTATTTCGATAACTGATAACAGAACACTACGCACGTTCCGAGAAGTTAACATCACACGCGCTGACTGCCGCTCATAAACATTATCTACGTTAGAGATGAGGCAACGGGCGGCTTGCTGATGTATCTTTGCAGCAAGGTTCCTTCTTCGATTGATATGTGGGGTTTAACGTCCCAAAACCACCATATGATTATGAGAGACGCCGTAAGGGAGAGCTCCGGGAATTTCGACCACCTGTGGTTCTTTAACGTGCACCCAAATCAAAGCACACGGGCCTACAACATTTCCACCTCCATCGGAAATGCAGCCGCCGCAGCCGGGATTCGATCCCGTGACCTGTGGGACAGCAGCCGAGTACCTTAGCCGCTAGACCACCGTGGCGGGGCAGTAGTATAGTGCTGCTGTTGCTGTGGCTTCTGCACACCATATACGTCGTAGTCTAACAGTATAGTTGAAGTACAGCTATAGCATATACTGCAACTACTATTATGTTTCAAATACTACTACTACGACGACGACGAAACAGAGGATAGACTAAGACAACTCTTTGTAGAACATGATCACACCGCGCAAAACGAGGCCAGTTAAACAGCACTGGGAGATGCTTTGATTGATTGATATGTGGGGTTGAACGTCCCAAAACTACCATGTGATTATGAGAGACACCGTAGTTGAGGGTTACGGAAATTTCGACCACCTGGAGTTCTTTAACGTGCGCCAAAATCTGAGCACACGGGACTACAACATTTCCGCCTGAAGTCCCTTCTTTATACAGCCTCTTTTTTATGCCATGTACAGGTGAACACGCGTGTGACTATGCAAGTGACTCGGTGACAAGCAAGGAAGATCAACAGCAATGGTAACAACTGGCTCTTTTTTAAGGCTTTCGGGAGCATTATTTTAACAGAAAAACTTCGCCCTATGCTGTCCAGTCCCATGCAATGTTATCAAAAAGGCCATCTAGAAAATTATTACGGGGGCTCTGCTTTACCCGAGAGTTCGCACACTTAGGCCTTGTTTAATATTGGCAGCGACCCATGGCACGCGATTTGTATATATGCTTCCTTTCACGTCATGTATCATGCTAACGCACTCGCGAGAAGCGACTGAATGCGTCGATGCAAATAGAAAATGAGCTGCTTGTTAGGCTAAGTTAAATGAACCTGTAGATACATTAACGAGATGCTTTGGTAATTGAGCTATTTCGTAAAGTTACAAAGTGTGATAAAATTATTGCAAGGCTATTAAATCATCAACGTGTTCGTTAGCATCGGTGGTGGAGATGCAAAAAAAAAATTGAGAGAACACTTGAGCTTCGCCTCCAATGGTAGAACACAATTGCATAATCATGATTCCATACGCATCTCCTTCTCAGTTGCTGGCTTCGTTTCGGTTATCAGTTTCTGCCTCAACCGGGTAACGAGAAAACCAACGTATGTGGGCGTAACACTGGCGATGTCAAACTATCCTGTAGAATAACTACAGCAAGAACAGATGCGAAGTTGATTATGATCATAATGATGATGATCATAATCCTTGGATGTGCCCACTTCTTTTTGTGAATTCTTCCTTTTTGTTAATAAGCGAAAGGTCCACCTAACGCGTCCGTAAAGCAACATGCGAAGCTACGCAGTGGCTCACTTTGTCGACGATTTCGCTGCTGACGATGATTAAATATGTCTGAGTGTTTTATTATGTGGTATTCTAAAACACACGCCCGTTGCGCGATTGAGACGCGATTCTACGCTTCTGTCAAGCAATATTATATTCGTTAAGGAGTCTCCTGCCACTACATAATATTCATATTGTTGAATGTAAACATTCGACAGAAGTCTGGCCGGTTGGGTATGAAAATGGGAGATGAGAAGATTTAGACTACAACCAAAACCAAAAGCTTTGAAGAAACCGGACGTTTCGAAACCGACTTGGTTCCTTCCTCAAGGCTGACCCTGAGGAAGGAACCAAGTCGGTTTCGAAACGTCGGGTTTCTTCAAAACTTTTGGTTGGAGTCTAAATCATCTCCCATATTCATAGAGTGTTTTTTTTTTTTTCAATCTCCCGAAGAAGTTTTTTATAAGTGCGTGATTCAGTGGTCTGCTTTCCTGCTTTCCACGCAGAAAACTTGGGTTTCACGCTCACTCGATCCGAATATCTTCATCATTTATTTTATTCGCATCTTGCTTGAATTTTCGCTCGCGGACATCGCCGATTTTTCGCTCGAGACCAACGACGCCGACCGCCAACGCTTAAACTTTAGAGAAACGAAATCTTTAACGCAATCACGGTTAACACACACGCATGAAGATGCGGCCGGCGGACATCTCACCTGTTTGAGACCTCTGCCATACACGAACGCTACAGCATCAGGGTTCCTTCGCATATAGGCACTTGGTCGCGTTCCCGAATTGGTCGCAGAGGTTAGCACAACCCTTTTCTTTCTCCCTCAGAATCACTACTACATCCTAGAGGTTCGAATGCAGTTATCTTTTGCGCGCGCAATAGCGCCCGAAGCGTTCAACCTTATATGACGACACGTCGCTTGAGGTGTCGGAGAGTGTGTGAGGGCGTGCTTCTTGCAAAAAGACCGGTGGTGATTTCCACAGTCTGACCTCCAGGTCTCCGCGCCTACGCCACCCAGTGGGTAAGCACGATTAATGATTCATGAATGATGTCCCCTCCGGTGAAAGGAGGTTGCGAGCTACGTATATAGAAGCGCTATTGTAGGGGCGCCTCGCTTTACAGCTTTTGCTATAAGGAGAACGGAATGAGCGGCGAAGTTACTAAGGAGGAAGCCGGCCGAGTCGGTTCGTTAAAAGTTAGGGCAAGTTGCGGGAAGCCAGCTGTGGCGAGGGAAGCTATGCAGCGTATTGCATGCGGTATTATTTAGCGGCAGCCGGATTACGAGACAAGAAGACTGAGGGAAAAAAAATGGGAGGGGGGTGCTTCGGACATCGCGTCCCATGACTCCAAGCCAACAGGAAACTAGACAGAGAGAGAAAGAGACAAAGGAAATGTGTTGATGAAGTGCACGTCCTCCACAGCCGAGGGGGCAGCTTGCAGCTGTCTCGGCCAAGCGTCACTCCACCACATCGTCGCCTTATTCTTCGCGCGCTATCATACTTTTTTTTCTTTCCCTTGATTTCGCTTTTGTTCATACGCGCACTCTCGCCTTCGCCGTGATTAGCGGTGGTCAACCAGCCTGCCTCGTGCGAGGATTCAACACTCACCCTCATTGTCTGCGAGGCAGCTCCTTGGCGAAACTCTTGCAGCTAAAGACGGTGGTTGCCGGCGGTGGTGACCTTGGAAAGACGCGTGCCGCGCCTTCATACACTGGCCGACACTCGCTCGACGAGAGGCAAGACTGGCGTGCGGTCTTTATCTCTGAAGAAAAAGGGGCCCCCTTCCATCCACGAAAGTACGCGCTTCCATAGCTGGTTGAATCCGCAGTGGCTTCGTGCCTGTTCGCAGGAGCGTACGTGGTGAGCAACAACGCGTCGTTGGTATTTGTTCGGACCGCGAGACTCGTCTTCCTGATGTCCCAGTGCGTGCGCGAAGAAGGTGCGTTCGTTTCCTCCGGCGCAGAGAGATTTATTTGTGACGGAAGTGACAGCGGTGCTTACGTTGAAGCGTAGCCATGAATCTGTGAAAAGAAGTGCCCGTGTGAAAGCCTGTGGAACGCGACATCGAATGGTATGCGTTCGTCGGATGATGAGCGAAACTGTTCGAGCTGAACTGTGAAAGAAGAACTGGTGTCTGACAGCAGCCTGAAAGGTGTCCGTCAATGACCGCTGCGTCATTGCAATGACCGCTGTGTGAGTGCAATGACCGCTGTGCGGTCCACCATATAAGCAAGCGTTGGAAGTACGAAACGTTACGTACAGAAGCTCACAAGATTTGAATGCGCGGCGTAAACTTTCGTAATATCGAGTGGCAACCGAAGTGAAGCTCTGAACGCCTAAGTCTCAAAAGTGTCTGTCGCCGAACTTGGACATCGCCAGTGCTTCGGACCTTGCGGAAACAAGCAAGCGCCGCCTACTAGAGTGGATTCCTTGTGACTGACAGATAGCAGCGTCGTGTGCCCGTTTACGAATGTGTGTCAGTTTTTTTATTTATTTACTCATGCTATTTCCGCAATTTTCGGCAAGCACTTTGTCATCCGCGATAAGAGTACGTGGTGATCATACCTCAACTTAATCAAACCTGCGAACGCCGACGCCGCGCTTGAAGTCCCGTTACGGGTACCGTTATGCCATCGTGAATCTACGAGTTCAGAGTGAAGCCTAGGGAACATTGTTCTGAGGTCTGAGGCCGACATCAATGACCCACGTTACTGCAATTCTGTAACGTTTTGTGCGCCGTTCCCGGCAGTTTTGGTAACTACCGTCATCGCTTTCAAGTTTCCTAAAGACTAACTTTCAGCTGGACTCTTGACAACGCCCAGACTACTGGAGTTAAGCGTGCTGTGCCATTTATGGAAACGGATGCAGAAGATCCGTGTATGTTAGGGATAAGTTGGACATTGACAACAGTGTCTTCGACAAGGCTGTGACAAAGAGAGGAAGTATGTGCTGAAAAGACAATGTGGTGTACCGTCAAAGAGGAATAGTTCCGAAACAAGCTGTCCTCCAGAGCATGGCAGAGATGTACGACGAAGCAGTGTTGCGACTACAGCGAGATCCGGATGTGTTGAACGATATCGGAGATAAACTTGGTGCCGCGAAAGTCCGCCCGGCTCGAAAGGTGGCGATCCGTCATGCATCTTGCGGCAGCGGTGCAGACTGCCGCCGTGGTTAACGGTCCGTCTTTCCGCCGGTTCCAGAGGAGACGCATCTCGTACCGACGCATCGCGCTCATCCGCAGCTACTACAGCAAAGTGAGTCGTCGCAATACTTCCTAGCTTCGTTTTCGCGTTGTGCGAGTTGAGACTCGCCACCTCGCTGCCTGCATTGCTGCTCCGTTGACGATACGCGGTGTGTGTAAGCTTGCGTGATTTTTCGCAATATAAGGGCGTTAACAACAATCTTTCTCGGGGGGGGGGGGGGGGAGAGGATGGCCAAGAGGTGTTTAATGAACCTTTCTGAATGTTTGTGCATGTGTTTGAACGTGTGAGTCTATATACGCACATGAAAATTTGGAAAATTTCGAGGGAGAAGGGAATGCCCCCTCCCCTTGTCCCGCAGTTACGCCATTGTCGTGCAGTGCATGAGAATGCACAGTTTCTTTCTTTCTTTCTTTCTTTCTTTCTTTCTTTCTTTCTTTCTTTCTTTCTTTCTTTCTTTCTTTCTTTCTTTCTTTCTTTCTTTCTTTCTTTCTTTCTTTCTTTCTTTCTTTCTTTCTAACTCCTATGAGAACAATACATTTGTGCCAGGTTGCCTCCTGTCTCTGTTGTTCGCGGGTAGCTTGTTTTGTACTATAGTAATTCGCCTAAACTCATTCGTTAATAACTACAGTGTCACCAATCCTCATCGTGGCCCCGAACCAGCTATGGAAACAACGACAACAACGACAACGTTACCACCGATGAAGTAGCATATCGCTCGTCGCAATAAGGCAAATACTCGCGCACCGATGTACTCAAATAAGGCCTATTTCATGCACTATTGATCATTCACATTCATTCAATCAAGTCATTGTTGCTGTAAGGATTACAAGAAACTATAGCTGCATGTAAATATGTATTGCATAACTGGTAATGTTATCGCTGTGGCGTTCTCTCAGAATGCATTTATTTATTTATTTATTTTCGTTCTCCTACGTTCTGCGGTTTTTATTCAAAGTTTGTACATGTTTGTTTCTCTTCTTTCCAACTCTGCTGTAGTTATGCATGACTCCCGTTCGAGTAAATAAATAAATAAATAAGTAAATAAATAAATTGTAGAGTATGCGCCTAAAAATGGGCGTCATTTTGAGCTCAATTTTTTTCTCTTTTCTGTAAATTTGTTAAAATAAGTTTGGCATACCCGAAGCTATATATAGGGCTTAGCACAACGCAAGGCATACGAACGAATCCGACATCTTAAATAACGTTGGAAAGTTTATGTGGAGCATTGCCATCTCCCTCTTTTCTGCGTGCCCTTGGAAATGAAAGAAAAAGTTTATGGAATTTGGAGCTCTATCAATTGACGTAAAAAAAAAAAAGCCGGGTTTCTTTGCAAGCCTGGCATTACACAGCTTTGCACCGTGTTACGAATTTCGGGAATGAAAGAAAGTATGGCATTGATAATTCACCCGCCTTGCGAAAAAGAAGAAAAAAAATGTATTTATAACGGTACACATACCAAACAATGAGGTGGCTGCACAATATCCTGCACGTTCATCTGTTTTCCTTTTCTCCTGGATTCATCGCAGCTTTTCTTTTGTTTTATCGCCTCCTCTTCACCACAGTCATTTTCTCTCTTTCTGAAAGGGTGCCGCCATTCATTATCGATAATGAGTAAAAGACACAATGGCTGCGGTAGGGGCTGTACGACTTCATTGCGCATACAATGAGACGCGACGCACCATCTTTCATGCACCAAGCCGTTCTCTTTCTCCGGATCCACGACAGTTTATCTCATAATCCCTGCACATTGTGGAGCAAAACTAGAAATAGAGCGCAATTTACTGTTCTTGGTTTCACTATCTGTTGGCTCCGCATTCGAATACCATAAATTAAGAAAGAAAAAACTAGGAAGAGGGTTTTTTCAATTAACTTTCTTTCCTGGTTCAGCACTGAATCTTAGTGATTAATTTTAGCCATCGAATACACTAATCCGACTGTTTGTGAGACGAAATCCTTATATGACTCGTCAAACGCGGAAAGGGACCGTCAGCGTGAAGAAATAGAGCGCAAAAAATAGAGACAATGACCAAAATGAGATAACACGGCGCTGAGATCAGCACCGCGTCGTCTCTTATTCAGTCGTTGTCTCTATTTTTGTGCTTTTTTTTACATCCCATGCATGAACCACTAACTATAGCCCAACTTTCTCTTCTACTCAAGAAAACATGATGTAAAAAAGACATCGCCGTGTGATGACGTGACATGTCTACATACACGCCATCAAAATGAGAGACGTCATGACATCACATCGTCGCATGGTGAAACGTGCAGAAACCTTCGAATTACTTCGATCTTAGAGGCAGTGCCAAACAACCTTTAGAGCAGAACGCTTTCGGAGTGAGGGCAACTCGGGGAAGGGGGGGGGGGCGTGAATACATACAAATAAATGAAAAGAAGAAAAAAAAAACAAGATGGCTTCTGCCATACATTTTTAGGAAAAACCATGAGAAACGGCATTTGTCCTTATTACCTCAGATACCCAACTTTGGGTGTCCTTTGCTAAGCTTTCATCATTCCTCTTTGAGGAATCATAAAATAAAATGAAAGCAGCAGAATGTACACAAGTGCCCAGACATCCTTTAAGCCTATACGACTGAATTACATATTCATGGGAAGATATATACGCGATGACGCAGGAGCTGTCGGTGAAATACGCTGCACCCATGGTATCCCGAGACAAAAAGGGCATAAAGATAGAGCGATCCTTTTCACTTGAATGAAAACCATGTTATCGCCCAATGGCACGTTATAAATACGCTTTTGCTTGGAATATGTGGATGCTGTGGCATCGGCCCTACATAAATAATAGTGCAGAACGGACGCTGAAGTAAATATACAGAAAAAAACTCACATCACGTTTTATATGAGTCATTATTCATCGCTTTCATAACTTGTCGTTGTCCTAGGGCATACTTATAACGTATACCCTCCGTGGTGTTTTTCCATCTCTCCAATAAAATATGTCTCTCTTTCTCGATCCTTGGTGTTTTAGTGGTTGTGGTACTGGATCGCTGACCCGAAGGCCACGGGATCGAATCCCAGCCATGGTGGCCGCATTTTCGATGGAGAGAATTTGATTGACGCCCGTCTGCTCAGATTTCCGGAGCACTCCACTACAGCGTCTCTCACGCTCATCTGGTGGTTTCGCGCCGTGATAACTAAGATAATATTATTACTTATGGCGTTTGAGCTTTTGGGATTGTTGCTTCAGCGTTGCTATCTATCTATCTATCTATCTATCTATCTATCTATCTATCTATCTATCTATCTATTCTATCTATCTATCTATCTATCTATCTATCTATCTATCTATCTATCTATCTATCTATCTATCTATCTATCTATCTATCTATCTATCTATCTATCTATCTATCTATCTATCTAGATATCTCTGTCTGTCTCCGAAGTATGTATGCATGCATGTATGTATGTATGTATGTATGTATGTATGTATGTATGTATGTATGTATGTATGTATGTATGTATGTATGTATGTATGTATGTATGTATGTATGTATGTATGTATGCATACATGTGTGTATGCATGTGAGTGTATGTATGTATGTATGTATGTATGTATGTATGTATGTATGTATGTATGTATGTATGTATGTATGTATGTATGTATGTATGTATGTATGTATGTATGTATGTATGTATGTATGTATGTCTCCGAGCACACCACGTCGGGGGGAGCGCTTTGAGAAGGCGGTGACGAGCTTTGGGCTGGGTGGAGCCTACGCGCTGCGGCGTCGCTACAAGCGCCTTAGTATGGCGACGGCATCTAGCCCTGCGTGCGAGCATGGAGTATAGGTCGAGAATAAATAGGCTTTCGCCTTCGCATCGCCTTATCGGATAATGCATACCGGACCCTGTTAATTTAATTCACTCACTCAATCACTGACGTTACATTACGCTCTCTCCCTCTTTTGACTATAGAGGACGTGCGTCAGTACATGAGGTCAATGCGACGCTGCTTGATGTACGGTAGATTACGCATGTAAATGGTGGGGCCTTTAATGATATGTACCGAGAGTGTTCCTGAGAATGATGTAGCGTTTATATTACCCAAGCGCCGCGCTTCCTTTTTGAATGCCTCTTTGATGGCTCTCTAGGCTGAGTCGTATCTTACTTTCTTTAATTTCTTTTTTGTTCGTCCCTGGATGTACCATTTGTAGGTGCTGTGTTGCAAAGCGCACGTGAGGATCACGCCCGCCGCTTTAGCGCCGCAACTAATGCGGTCTCTTCATCTTCGCGTTTCTTTTTCTTTAGCTTTTTTTCACTAACGCCGGTAAGATAAATAGCACTTTGAAGTGAACGTCACTAATGCATTTTGTTAGTTTTTTTAATTGGTATGACGTGAATGAGATGTCGGTGCATAAATTAAGGCGCCAGCTACTCGATGGCTCTTGAAGTGATCGACGGTTCAGCAAAAAAAAATATATGCGCGAACGGAAATATGGCCAACACTCTCATAAAGCAAGGGAAAATATCCGAATTGCTATTATTACAGTCCAAAATAATGTATGTAGTCATCATGCAGATGAATTCTCAGAGAAAGCTGACATAACAATCAATACATACAATCAAATCGGACATATAAAAAAGTAGGACATACATAGTACAAGTGAACTTGATTCACTAAGAATTCATAGATGCCTCAACTGCCAGAAATGCCACAGTCTTCGAGAAATCGTTTTAGCGCTTTTAAATAGCGGGCCCAAAAGTTTTTTTTTTTTTCAAACTGAACAAGTTACAGTTTAATGTCATTCGTTCCGATGTAGTACGGCGTCTTGGCGTATCACAATGTGAGCACTCCAGAAGGAGGAGGAATACACATGCGGCCATAAATTCATACTCGCATTGATATGTTATCAACCTCAAAAAGGCCAGTCCTTCTCTTCTATGTATGTATGTATGTATGTATGTATGTATGTATGTATGTATGTATGTATGTATGTATGTATGTATGTATGTATGTATGTATGCATGCATGCATGCATGCATGCATGCATGCATGTATGTATGTATGTATGTATGTATGTATGTAT